AACTTAATTCTGTATGGAACACTTTCTTTAATTCCTTGCCGCTGACAATGCATTTCTTCCTGATTTTCCGTGCATTGCGTAGCTGCTGGAACATTCCGATATACATAAAAGAAAAGATATTTGTCTCCAAATCTTGATTACTTGAATCTGCGTAATTTTTGTATTAGGGATGCTTTAACACACAGAAAGGGCTGACGAAATATATCGCAAGATATTACTTTGACAAAATTTTCATTAAATCATTGACCGAATCTTTGATTCTGACTTTGCATCTAAGAGTGATGATTCAAGATTATTCTTAAATTCTGATGAAGTCAGCGAAAACAATAATTTTCCGGGGGTCTGTTGCCAATCTAACATAGCGCCAAAAAAATCTTTCATTTTGTTTGGTGAGAGTGTATCTTATAATAAGGTTATTTTTCTGGAATTTTCTCATTTGGTTGCTCGGCAGCTATTCATTTTTTTCAACCAGTTCCGGTAGAGTGTAGACGCAAAGATACTACTACTACTACCACTACTACAACTACTACCACTACTACTACTACTACTACTACTACTAATAATAATAATAATAAGAAGAAGAAGAAGAAGAAGAAAAAGTATGGGCAAAAAAATGATGCCTTCACAGGGGAAAATCTCATCAACTCAATGTTTTTTTTTATCTTCTTAATTTAATTTACAAAACATTCAGGTGAGATGTCATCACGTGAACCAGTAGGGACAGCAAAGGCGTATCTTTGACATTATTTTAAAGTTTGTCGTACTATTTGTATGAGATGCGTCCATAAACAGACGCCTCCTTGTTGGCAAACATAAATTGATTATTTTCCTAGACTCAACTAAGCCTCAAGCTTATTTTTCATATTGAAAATTTTCCTCTTTTTCTTCTTTGTTTTTAATATTGGTAGTAGTAGTAGTAGTAGTAGTAGTTGGTGCTGTTTTGTCTTATTGGCTCTTTCTTATCAATTGATATCAGCCACATGATCATTTTTACTTTACTGTTATTTAATCTCGAATATATATTTCTTTTTTTCTTCCGAACAATACCAATGCAACTCGCCATCCTCCTCTTTTTGCATTATGAATAGTTGCAGCCAGGAACATATTTTATTCCTTCTATTACACAAAAAAGTCAAAGTTTAGCCTAGGCTCGAAAGAGAGGAAAACCTCATTTACGAACAAGAATTATTTTTCAGAAGTTCTTTCTTTGGCTTTTATAGTTTTCTTACCATTTTTCCTCTTTAGTTATTTTTTTTTTATTGCTCTCATTTTCTCCTTCATTTCCTTTTTCTGTCTTTCTTTCTTTCTTTCTTTCTTTCTTTCTTTTCTACATTTCTCTCCATTCTTTCTTTCTTTCTCTCCATTCTTTCCTTCTTTCTTTTCTACATTTCTCTCCATTCTTTCTTTCTTTCTTTCTTTCTTTCTTTCTTTCTTTCTTTCTTTCTTTCTTTCTTTCTTTTCTACATTTCTCTCCATTCTTTCTTTCTTTCTTTTCTACATTTCTCTCCATTCTTTCTTTCTTTCTCTTCATTCTTTCTTTCGCTTCTACATTTCTCTCCATTCTTTCTTTCTTTCTGTCTTTCTTTCTTTCTTTCTTTCTTTCTTTCTTTCATTCTTTCTTTCTTTTCTACATTTCTCTCCATTCTTTCTTTCTTTCTTTCTCTCCATTCTTTCTTTCTTTCTTTCTCTCCATTCTTTCTTTCTTTTCTACGTTTCTCTCCATTCTTTCTTACTTTCTTTCTTTCTTTTCTACGTTTCTCTCCATTCTTTCTTTCTTTCTTTCTTTCTTTCTTTCTTTCTTTCTACATTTATTTACACCATCTAGTTTTATCATATATATATATATATATATATATATATCGAGTCCCAAACAAAGTGGAGACTTTCTTTTTCCTCTCCGTCACCTTCTGTCCTTGGTCATTTGCTACTCCTCCGCCATTATCGCCCACGCCCTAATTCACCTACCTTTTTAAACATTTGGCTTCGTTAATTCATTTAGACATGCGCATGCGCGTGGGCGCTAAAAACTGTTCGTTGGAACCAATGTGCAATTTTCCTTTTACATGCGATTCTAAAATGTCGGCATTTGGACGCCTGTTTTAATCATCTTTTGTGTGAAGTTGTGTGCCAAGCAGATTAGTGGGTTTCTACCAAGGCAAGGTTACACGAAGTTTTCCCGATGAAAATTGTATTTGGTTTTATTCTCTGTTCAATATTACATTTATTCAAACATGGACGAAAACAAATAATGACACAAATATAAAGTTCGACATTATTTTTTTTTATTTGTGCTTTCTCATAATAAAGTAGAAAAATTTTAAACACTTTTGTTACGACGACGACGACGACGACGATGATGATGACAATGATGATGATGATGATGATGATGAGAAGAAGAAGAAGAAGTAGTAGTAGTAGTAGTAGTAGAAGAAGAAGAAGAAGAAGAAGAAGAAGAAGAAGAAGAAGAAGAAGATTCGGTTAGAATGTTTAACCTCGGGGAAAAGAATATGAACTTGTAAACTCGGCAAAATAATGTTTTGAATAAATAACCTGGATTTTAAATGTTAATTCCCGGGTAGACGGGCGTAACACAATCTTACCAAATTAAGCATGTAATTTGGGTTCGTGCTGTGCTGGGTTTTTTTTTTTTTTTACTTTTCCATACATCTTTTTATTTCTTTTATATATTTTCTTCCTTTTTTTTCTTTTAAGTATAAAGGTTTTCTATCTTTATATATTTTCTTCCTTTTTCCTGCGCAACGCTTTCTTTCGATAGTTCTTTTTTTCTTTTCATCTACCAATTAGGCAACGCTTTCTTTCTTTCTATGTACAAATTACCACACTTACATGCAACACTTCTTTCTTTCTTTCTTTCTTTCTTTCTTTCTTTCTTTCTTTCTTTCTTTCTTTCTTTCTTTATCGGCGTTTCTCTCTTTACATATTAGCTTCCTTTATTCCACGCAACACTTTTTTCTTTCTTTCTTTTTATATACCAGTTACCACTCTTATATGCAATGCTTTCTTTCTTTCTTTCTTTCTTTCTTTCTTTCTTTCTTTCTTTCTTTCTTTCTTTCTTTCTTTCTTTCTTTATCACCTTCTCCCTCTCCCTCTCTCTCTTTCCCTCTCTTTCTCTCTCTCTCTCTATATATATATAAACTTCCTTTATTTCACACAACACATTCTTTTTTATTTTTTTACTTTTATATACCAACTACCATTCTTATATGCAACGCTTTCTTTTTTTTCTTCGTTCTCTCTTTCTTTCTGTATCACCTTATATATATATATATATATATATATATATATATATATATATATATAAGCTTCCTTTATTCCCCTAAACACATTCATTCTTTTTTATTTATTTTTTTTATTTATTTCTTTTTATATAGCAACTACCACTTTTATATGCAGCACTTTCTTTTTATATTTCTTTCTTTCTTTCTTTCTTTTTCTTTTCTTATCTCTTTCTTTCCTCCTTCTGCATCACCTTTTCACTTTATATGCATCAGCTTCCCTTACTCCAAACACACTGTTTCTTTCTTTCTTTCTTTCTTTCTTTCTTTCTTTCTTTCTTTCTTCATCGCCCTTTCTCTCTTTATATGTTAGTTTCCTTTATTCCACGTAACACTTTCTTTCTTTCATCCCTTCTTTTTACATACCAACATTACATATGCAACGCTTTCTTTTTTCTTCCCAGCATTCAGTTGTCATAACTGTAACAGTCATGTCTTCCAAACAATCGCAAAAGCTGAAGCCTATTTGTTTTAATAACAACGCGTAATTGAAAATCTGCAAAGAAGAAGAAGTGAGGAAATAGAAATATTCAGGAAAAATCAATGAAAACATTCAAGAAACAAGAGAAATCGAAAGACAAAGAAAAATAGAAAGAAAAGTAAAATGGAATCAACTGAAATTTAAGAGGAAAAATAGCAAAAATAAAACGAATGGTAATTTAAAAAAAAAAGGAAATCAAAACGAAGAACATGAAGACATGAAGGAACAATGTAAGAGGTAAGCTGACAAATAAGAAAGATCCCCCCCCCCGAAAAAAAGACTAAGAAGTAGTAGGGGTGAAAATCGAAGAAAAGCAAATGAAAATGAGGAAAACAGACGAAGAAGAAATAAAAATGTGTGAAAAATGAGGAGAGACAAAAGTAAAGAATAAAAAGACGAAAGGCGAGCAAAAGAAATTAGAAGGTGCAGAAACAAAAGAAGAAGAAATGGAGTAAGTAAAGAAGACGAAGATTTTGAAAGAAATGATCCTGAAAGAAAAGTAAGGGTAAGGGAAATCAATGAGTAAGATGAAGAGAAAAAAAGTTGGAAAGTTTGAGAAGAAGTAGAGAAGTATGAGGAAGAGAAATGACATGGGGGAGATGACGCAAATATAAAAAAAAAGAGTAAAGAAGAAGAAGGTGAGAAAAAAGAATATAAAGGCGAGAAAAAGAAGAAAAGAGTGAACGAAAGTGAAAAAGGAAGAAAGAAAAAGGTGATAAAAAAGAATAAAGTAGGAAAGAAGAAGAAGATGAAAATAGAATAAGAGAGAGAAAGAAGAAAAAGAAAAGGAGTTAAAGAAAAATAAGGAAAAAAGATATGATGACGAAGGAGGTGGGAAAAAAGAAAAAAAGAAAGAAAATGAGAAAATAAAGTAAAAGGAAAATTAGTAGCAAATAGAAGACAAACAAGAAGAAAATGTAAAAAAAATGCGAAATAAAATGAGAGGACTAAACAGAGAGAAAGCAAAATGTTAGGGCGAAAATGAAGAAAAGAAAACAAAGGAAGTGGGGCATAAAAATGAATGAAGAAAGCAACAAAGAAACAAGAAAAAGAGAGAAAAATATTTGGCTAGAGTCGGTGAGAAAACTTGTAGCTTTTGGCTCGCCTTTTCTTACGAGATGACAGGCGGTAATGAAAAGTGACTGAATGACTTCAACCTGAATTGAAGCGTCACTTTTAGCAGTAACCAAGTTACGAAGAAAAGATGTAAAAGCGAGGTACATATCTACCCGATATAGAAAGATAAAAATGTATATATATATATATATATATATATATATATATATATAGAGAGAGAGAGAGAGAGAATAATAGTAAGTGTAAGAGAGAAGTTAACGAACAGAGAGAAATATAAAAATAAAAATGTAAAATGCTGTTTTTTAAGCAATATATTTAGAAATTCATTAACTGAGAGATTTTTTATTCACAGTTAAGGAATCATTTCCTCTCTTCTAGCAGAATTGGCACGCGTTTACTTTTAGACACACACAAAACAGAATAAAAAAAGATTCACAGAGAGAAAAAAAAAACAAGGACGTATTTTTGAAAAAAAAAAAAAAATCTTTAAAAAAAACTAATTTTCAGGTTTACGACCATATCACATTGAAACACCTGTTCAGCAAAGTTAAGCATGCTCGAACCTGGTCATTATTTTGATAGGTGACCACTTAGGAATATCAGATGTTGTATGGTTGTCTGGGCGGGTGACGTAATGGATAACGGCTCGAAATTGTTAATCAGAGAGCCGAGTTGGGTTTATTATATTCACCTACGCACAAATACCCTTGTGAAAAGTATGAATCAATATCTTCTACTCCCGCTATGGGTTAATTAATAAAAAATTTTACTACTAAACATTTATTATCACCCCTCGCCACAAAAAGTTCGTACAATCTGAAAATGTTTTTTGGCTGTAAAATAACCCGCAAACAGTTGGTAAACCGTATAAGACAAATCAATCGATCACTAATTTTCACCCGATACAAGGCTCAAGAACCACATAAGTTAGAGCATTCCTGAAGAAGGTTGTAGTTTGAGCAGTAGGAGTATGAGGTAAGAATTGCACTTCATGAGGACATGTAGAAAAGATAAAGGTTAACCGTAGACTCTTCAAGTCTAGGGTTATCGTTAAAATAAGATTGTAGCGGTCGTGAAACAGCCCTTCCCACAAACTAACGATTCGTGGGAAGAAGCTGTCCAATTGGAACGTACTTGGAGAATACGAAACGATCGAGGATTGTTCGCCAACTGTGTACATGGCATAGCGTCTCTTGGCTGTGAAACTAAGGAAGGTAGCTCGTCAGAATGTTTGCCATGAAAATAACGAGAACATGGCGACGTTTACTCTGTGAGAAAACAGGTTGTAGCGTAGGAAACAATTTATCCATCACAAAGACGCTTATGAACACTATCACGAATAGAAAGTAAAGACTGTGAAGCTCTAGATCAAATATGGCAGTATTACTCTGTTTTCGGTCTGATCTAGCTCCTGTATTTATAATTTTGGGATGTTTAGGTGACACAGTGGTTATCGGTGCAAGAAAAGTCTTTGGCAAGCAAAATTCAAAATCTAGGCGTGATTGTGACGTTAACTTCCCGTTAATGTTCTCAGGAAAGACATAAATCGACCCTTTCTCCCTTCCAGCTATAAGTCAAATATTGCTACAACCTCAGATTTCTAGTTGGCTGACAATGAGTCTAGAAGAATAACAACTTTGAATTAATAATCGTGGTGAAGGCAACGAGAAATCGCCCAGTGTTCCCAGAGAAAACATAAATGGCTAGGTACAATTCAGAGATTTTAAATAAATTTAAAGTTGTGTTTTTTTTTATTTTTCTAGACTGGTTGGCTAGATGATAAATTTTGAAATTATCTAATGATTTAGGCAGAATTTTAATCCGGTTCACCAATTTCAAACCTGCGTTGTACTTGTAGACCACACGCACTTCCTAAATGTTACCACAAAAAAAAAAAAATATATTCTCACTATTTCTGTAACGCTTGAAATGTTGTTTCTTTCTGAACAATGTTTGGTAAATAAAATTTCGAGCGAATGAAGCAAGTAGGGCATAACGAGGACCATCCCTTTCGATAGCAGCAACAACTATAATGTATAGCACATGTAACTGGGAGAGAAAGTATTGACATGGTTAAAATGTTGACGTTCCAGAGCATTTCAAACAAATCGCAGACCTCTCTCAGTAGTGTTAAGTGCCATAACAGTGAACTAGAGAAACCTATTTTCCTTAAAAAGTGTTTTACGTAAGATAAGGACTTTAAAATATTCTTGGATTGTATATTGTATTATTGTCGCCATTTTATATTTTTAATTTCGCGCATGCGCATTGTTTGTTTTTGATTTTGTCGACTGCACAGTAGAGTGTGTTCATTTGGGCACTGTCTATGAGACAAAAAAAGAGCACCGTGACGCAATTCAATCCACCAGAAATTTGGAAACGGCATGCTGCACTGCTTGTAATTAGCGCTGGAAGGTCCGATACGAACATTTCAGAGTGTTTGGGTATCAATCTGAGGAAAATGCAGAGGATTTGGAAGGAGTTGGATGAATCTAATGCTGATTACGAAGGTGTTTGGAGTGATCACATCCATTCATATACCGACAGGGCCTCAGACTCCACACGGAGGCCTACATCAAGTGTCTTGATGGGGTAGGTAGTGCTGCCTTGGGTCAAGAGGGTGCTTGCTGGAAGATCCTATATCTGGTAACATGACTTTGCATCATGCCACACAAGCAGGAGAATCAATTTCTGGCTGCCAGACAATTTCTGCAGCCACATCACCACTTACATCTGTACACCTAACTCTCCAGACTGCAACCCCCTTGATTATTATGTGGACGCAATTGATCGAGAGACCAACTAAACTCTTTGTGACACCAAAGATGAACTGAAGGTAAGGATTATGGTAGCATTCACAAGGGGGCCATCCAGAAGAGTTGCAGAAGATACCGTAGTCATCCGGAGGCCGTGGATGGAGGCAATGGCGATGTCATTGAATAAATTTACTCTTTAATATTTCAAGACATTTTTGTGTAATTTTGTGTAATATCTGTTAAAATGAGATATATATGTATAACGTATCACCATTAAATATCTATTGTTTTGTAATACTCTTGTATTACCATAACAGACAGTGAACTTAAGAATCCTATTTGCCTGAAAAAAATGTTTCACGCAATAGAATTTGGTTGCTCGGTCAAGGAATGTCTTTGAAAGAAACGACTAATATTTCCATTTCCACATAGAGTAGGTTTTAGCAATTTGCACTTTTAGATTTTAAATTCTGACAACTTGATGTCTTGAGGAATGTCTAATGAATCCTAATCTACAAAAATTATTCCTTGGAATTTTTTTCCTTTTTTTTTTTAAGGGTGAATCCACCTATTTAGCAAATTCTAATTCATGGAATGATGCCAAGTTTTAATTTCATAGCGATGATGTTCAAAATTTGTGTTTAAAATCCTATTAGTTACTGAACTCATTCTCCAAGATATTCCAGAAACTTAGACGTGGTGTAATGCAAGCTAGTCTCGCTAGGTTAGTTACGACTGAATAGTGATTTAGATCCTCACTGGGTGTCCCGTAGTTTCCGTTGTGTCAGATCTAAGCTACGCTTAGAAAATCAACATAACGAAATAAGGGAAAGAGAGAATAAAGGACTAAGCATAAGCTGTAAGAAGACAACGTTGTCAGCAAATGGAACAGTCCAAGTTACGAAGTAAAAGCTGGCGACATCAAAATGAAGCAACCAGAAAAAAATTAAATACAATAGAATTCCTAATATCCGGAACCCCTCATATACGGAATCCCTCATATCCGAAATCCCTCATATCCGGAATCCCTAATATCCGGAGTGCCTAATATCAGGTATCCCGCATATACGGGCATGATTTTGATGTGTATATTTGAACTATTTGGATGCTATGTAACTGATTTGAAATTTCTGTTTTTCAGGAAATTGACTTTGGATAATTGCTTATATCTATTTCACCCTAATGGCTAGTATTGGTGCAACAGATGATGGGAATAACTTTGGAGTTATCGCAAAAAGTGGAACTTTTAAACAGACTAGATGCTGGTCAAAGTCCATTGTAAGTAATGGCTGAGTTTGACATAGGAAAGTCAATATTGTATGATATAAAATCTTCCAAAGAAATTATTCTCCAGCGTCCATACTCTTACAATGAACAAGGAAATAAAAAACATGTTTGTATGAAACCTGGATTGAAATTGAAAAGACTATTGAAAATGTTGTCAGTTTTATGGAAAGAAAGCCAGCATTCAGCTATGACGATTGCAGTAACGCACGCAGAGTTAAAAAGTGTCTTTCGCTTAAAAAAAAGAACGAAATCAAAACGAAATGCGGAAAAAGTTGAGAATGACATTAGAAGAGAAAGAACCGTCATGCAACAGCGATTAAAAAATCCTCGCTATGTTATTTGTTTTGCATACGTGGCATACTTATTTTAATGAAATTTCATTAACATTACATAATTTCTTTTTTCTTAAAATCAATTCTGTTATATTTTACTCAACATTAACCAATCCTGTTTGCTATAAAACATTGAAAATAAATGTTAAACCTGATTTCTGTTCTTTTATTTTAATCTAAATATAACCCCTAATATCCGGACTTTGTAACCAATTCCTCATATCCGGATGGCCTTCTTAGTCTACTTCTACTGTATATTTCAACAGAGGACGTGATATGTGACATAGAAATCCAAAGGCACATTGGGACAACGAAATATGTCTTTCAAAAGCTAAGCAAAGTATTGAGAAAACTTTTGTTAGAAATAAAGGAAAGAGTATTGAAATGTTATGTAATATCGATCTTCTTATATAAAAGTAAATGCTGAAATAATTTCTTCGGAGATGAAGAACAGACATGAGGCAACAGGAGCTTGGTTCTGCAGGAGGATGCTGAGTATACTATAGACTGAACATGTGAGAATCATCGAAGTTTTAGAGAAAACGGAAACAAAAAGAACGTTTATACTTAGCATCTGAAAGAGAGTTGAAATTTCTAGGGAACATAATGAGAAAAGAGGGCTCGGAAAATTTAACATTCGCAGGACATGTTGAAAGTAAGTGAGAAAGCACATAAGGTGTTTGTCGAAATGGTTGGCAGAACAAGAATTAGGAGAGATTGCAAAATGGCAAACTGTACCAAAAGCTACAAAAGACAGGAAATTGTGGAGAG